ATCAACCTGCAGAACATCAACGGCCTCGCCGCGCTAATGCTCGCCGCTGAGAACGGCCACGAGTGGGTGGTCGAGCTGCTGATTCGGCGCGGCGCTGAGATCAACCTCCAGGACAGCGACGGCGACACCGCGCTGACGCTAGCCGCCGGCCAAGGCCACGAGCGGGTGGTCGAGCTGCTGCGGCAGCGCGGGGCGAAGTTCGACTTGCAGAACAACAAAGGCGGCACCGCGCTGATGTACGCCACCGGCAACGGCCGCGAGCGGATGGTCGATTTGCTGCTGCGGCACGGCGCGGAGGTCGATGTGCAGGACAGCAAGGGCCTCACCGCGCTGATGCTCGCCACTCACCTCAACCACCCCGCCGTCGTGCGGCGCTTGCTGCGGGCGGGCGCAGACGCGGCGCGCACTGTTGACGGCAAGACGGCGCTTCAGTGGGCCAAGGAGAAGGGCCACGCTGAGTGCGTGCGCGCCCTCGAGGAGCACTCGTCGACCGCAGCACAGGCGGAGGGGGCGTCGGCGGTCGCAGAATCAGCCGAACAGGCTGCGGCAGCAGAGGCGGCGGAGGCACGCGATGCTGCCGAGGCGGCGCTGCGCGAGGCGGTTGAGGCGTGCGAGCGAGGCGATGCCGATCTCGAGGCGCTCAGAACGGCGATCAACGCGAACACCGCCCAGTCCGCCAACGGCTCGGAGGCGTTGCGGGCGGCGCGGCGGCTGCGCGACGAGCTGGCCAAGCCGCTGAAGCGGCAGCGGCAGAAGGAGGAGAAGGCGGCGGCGAGGCAGGCGGAGGCGGCAGCGCGGGCGGTGGAGCGGGCGGCGGAGCAGGCGGAGGAGGCGCGGGCCGCAGAGGAGGCGCGAGTGGCGGAGGAAGCGAATCGGGTGGTAGCAGAGGCTGCGGCGGCGCGGGCGGCGGAGGAGGCGGAGGCGGCGTCGCGCGCAAGGGAGGAGGCAGAGGCGAGGGCAAGGGAGAAGGCGGCAAGGGAGAGGGAGGAGGCGAGGATGAGGGCGGAGGCGGAGGCGGAGGCGGCGGAGGCGGCGGAGGCGGCGGCGGAGGCGGCGGCTGTAGAGGCGGCAGTGGCAGCCGTGGCGGCGGCGGAGGCTCAAGAGGCGGCGGCAGCGGAGGCGGCAGAGGCGGCAGCGGCGGCGGAGGCGGCGGAGGCGGCGTCGAGTGTCGCCGCCCTCGCCGCCGCCGCCGCGCCGCCCACCGCCATCCCTCTCGACGAGCTCATCGCGGCGACCGACGGCTTTGCCGAGGCTCGCAAGGTGGGCGAGGGAGGTTTTGGGCGCGTCTACCGCGCCGATGCGTTGCCGTCTCTCCCGCGCGTCGCTTGCGGGTTCGCCGTCAAGACGGCGCTGGTCGGTGTCGGCGCCCAAGGCCTCGCCGAGCTACAGAGCGAGGTGCGCACGCTCAGCGCGGCGTGCCACCCGTCCCTGCTTCCTCTGCTCGGCGTCTGTTTGGCACCGGCGAGAGCGTGCCTCGTTTACCCCCTCTGCCGCGGCGGCAGCCTCGAGGACCGCCTCTACCGCACTCCAGCCGCGCTGCAGCGGCTCCGCATGCTCGGCTTCGAGACGGCGCCTCCTCCGCTCTCCTCCGCCGCACGGCTCCGCGTGTTGCGCGACGCGGCGAGCGCTCTGCACTACCTGCACACGCGCTCTCCCATGGTCCTGCACCGCGACGTCTCGGCGGGCAACATCCTGCTCGACGAGCGCGGCAACGGCTACCTCGCCGACGTGGGCCTCGCACGCGCGGCAGAGGCGACGGCCGGCGGCAGCCAGCAGGTCTCGCACCTGTCGACACAGCGTATCTTTGGCAAGCCCGGCTACATGGACCCAATCATCACGCAGGACAACCAGGCTTCGCAACTGACCGACGGCTATGCGCTCGGCATCACGCTGCTCGTCAGCCTGACCGGCCGCGGCGCCGTCGGCTTGCTCAACGCGTGCGACTATGCGCTGGAGGAGCCCGACACGGCGGTGAGCATCGCGGCGGCCGACGCGGGCTGGTCGGCGGCGCAGGCCGAGGAGCTGGCGCGGCTCGTGGTCGGGCTGGCGTACGAGCGGAAGCGAAAGCGGATGCCGCTCGCGGAGGCGCTGCCGCGGCTGGAGGCGCTAGTCGAAGCGGCGGGGGAGGTGGGGGAGACGGCGGCAGCCGAGGAGCGCCAGTGCGACCTCTGCTGGAACGCGCCGCGGTCGGTCCGCTTTGCGTGTGGCCACGCGCTGTACTGCGAGGCGTGTGTGCCGCGCGTGCTGGAGCGCGACAGCAACTGCCCGACTTGCCGCCAGCCGGCGCTGCCCATCGTCGCAATTGGGACACAGGTGGCGGCGCAGACGACGTTTGTCTACCAGCCGCCCTCGCGCCCCGCGCTCCAGGCTCAGCCCGTGGGCGTCACGGCAGCGGTCGGTAGGCGAGGGGGGAGAGGGGGGCGTGGACGTGGCGGGCGGGGCGGGCGGGGCGCGGGGCGCGGCGGCTCTGCTTAGTTCTGGAGCACCGGCGCCACACATGATATGGGTCAGCGCGAGAGGACAGTCGACAGGGAGGTGCAGTGCTGAGTGTGTGTTACTGACGTATTTGAAACGTGTGGAAATCTATCGTGTTTAGCCATTGAGCATTGGTATCCTCCGACGCCGACCCCCGCGCCACCTCGTCCAGAAACTCGATGGCGAGGTGCTGCGACGTCGCCGCCCCTCCGTTTCGCACGCCGTGCGACGTGTTTGCGGGCAGGAACGCGAGGCCGCCGCGCGCGACGGTCGTCGTCCCCCCGGGCTGCACCACCTCGACCGCCCCCTCGAGCACGAGCAGCAGGACGTCGTGGTCGCCGTCGCGGTGCACGGGCCTCGAGGCGCCGGCCGCGAGGGTCGTGCGGTCGGGTGGATGTGCGGCCGCCGCAGGAGCAGCTGCTTGCTGTGCATGTGTCAACACTGGATCTTCTTAAATCGTTGACTACTTGATCCGAGATCGCCCAAGCACCCATCACATGCGGCCATATCACCGTGGGTTACCGCTTCCCATCTGAACAGCGAAGTCAAGCACGGTCGAGCTCAGGTAGTACTTCCATCCGGGAGGGGGAGGGAAGGCTGAGTGCTGCATGTTTTGCCTCCTCCCATTTTGCCTCCTCCCATAAGCGGCGCCGGAACGGCGTCGGAAATTCCGCTGGTAAGGGGCACGGTGCACTTTTGCCGCGTGGGCAGCCGCTTCACCTCTCCGTCAATGGCCATGGCGTCGCGCTCCGGCAAGCGCGCCCGCACCGAGAGCGACGGCAAAGGCGACGAGGAGGGCGAGCCCGTGGCGGTCGCTGCCGGCTTCGAGGCGCCCATCTTTGGCGCGCGCACCGTCGGCCAGGTCACCACGCTGGCGCTCTGGGGGGGGGGGGCACCGATGCCGTCTCGACGGCACGCTTGGAGCGGCGGCGGACGCGTCCCGAGGCGGCGGCGGCGGCGGCGGGGGTGGGGTGGGGGGGGGGGGGGGGGGCCATTCCGAAAAAAAAGGGGTGTTGCCCAAAAAAACCGGGGGGTTTCCCTTGGGGGAAGGGCCTCCCCGCCCCCCCAAAGGGCTTGAAAAAGGTAAAAATTGGCCCCAAGCCCCCCTGGGGACCCGAAAAGGGGTGAACCCCCCAAAAAGGCCCCCCCCCAAGGGGAAGGGGCCCCCCCAAAGAAAAAAAAAACCTCCCGTTAACCCCCCCCCCCTCCACCAGGGTAAAAGGCCCAAAAATCGAGGGGGCCGGCCCCCCCTCCTCAAAGGTTTCCTGGGGGAAAGGGGGGGGGGGCCCCCAAATCCCCCCGGGAGGGCCGCCCCTTCAAAAAGGGGCTTTCGGGGGGAAAGCGGGAAAAATGGCCCGGGGTCCCCCCTAACCCCCCCGGGAAAAAAAAGGGCCCCCCCCCCCCTCCTCCCCACCTCCTGCCCCCCCCCCCCCCCCGGCCTGCGCGCGGTGGGTGCGGGCAGCGACGCTGGCGAGGGGACCGTCAGGCTTTCCCCCGCCGCGTTGTGATACCGACAGGTAAGCTTGGGCTTGAGGCGCTTTTGCAATAAAAGATGTTTAGTAATAAAAGGGCACTACTCTGCCAGCTCCACCTTCACCGGCCGCCCCTTGGGCGCACGGTCATGCTCGGGACGACTCCGCTTGCGACCTGGCGAGGTGAGATCGACGCTCAGCCCCATCGCCGCCTGGACCAGGGGGCGGCCATTAACCCTTTGGTACAACCAACCTGTGTGCCACTCTGGCGCTTGCTGCCGCCATAGTACGGGTTCAGGTCGATGTATATCTTTCCGTCAGCGGTGAACAGGTGTCGGCTTTCGTCCGAGAGGAGCTTGTCGGCCGGGCTCGTTGGTTTGCGCCAGACCGTGTGGCCTTTGGCAAGGGCGTCAGCGTAATCCCCGTCCTTCGCCGCCACCCATCCGTCACCGCTGACACGGTCCAGCTGCTCCTCCGTGTCCGGGTTACCCCGTTGGGGGTGACCGAGGACGACGACGGAGAGGTGTTGCCAAGCGCGATGAAGTGCCCATCGGCGCGGGAGGCGGCGCCTCCGCAGCGGGCAGAGCCGTTGCCCTTTGCGCCGGAGGGGAGCGGAGGAACGGAGTGTAGCACTTGAACTCCCAGCACGTAGTCATGGAGCCAAAGCGGATCAAGTCCTGTGTCCCTTGTTGACGTGGGCGTAGTAGCCCTTCCGCTCAGCCTTGGAGGCGGGGGTCCCGTCGCCCTTGTCGGCCAGCTGGATCGAGCCAACTGGCAGGGTGGTGTCGCTCGTGACGCTGGTGAGCGCTGTGTTGATCGGGGCCCACACCCCACCCACCTGTAGAGAGCGCGTGCATGCAGCGGTGGCTCCTCCCGATCCACTACTGGGCAGTCGGAGAAGGGGCAACTCCGTGCACTGACGGTCGGGCGTCAGAAACCACGCCTGCGTGGATCGCGTCAGTCACACCAGACTCGCTACCCAAACGGCCAAAGGCGGGATATCCACCTCGAGAACCTCGAGAACCACTCTCTCCGGACGTGTCCGAGTCCGGATCGGGGCAATTGATCGGGTCGTCGGCTGAGCTACACGATGAAGCGCGCCACCTGGCGCTCCGCTAGGCAGCACGTCAAAGCCGTCCGCACCTGCGATACCGAGCGGCTCGAGCAATCCCTCGCAGAAGCCGCTGCCGCCTTCCCGGGGTGCGCCGAGCGCGTTCTGGCCGTACTGATCCACGTGCGAGCCTTCAGCCTCGCGGACGCGCTTGACTGCATGAAAGCTGCAGGCTTCCGCGTCGGCCACGCGCTGCTCACGCTTGACGTCTTCCTCAGCTCGTCCCACGCGCACGATGGACGGCAGAGCGAGGCGCGGCTAACCCTCGCCGACTTTGAGCTGGCCTTCACCTTCTGGGACAAGCTCGAGGACGCCGTCAAGGCCTGGCTGAGCGTGAGCTTTGTGCGAGTGTGGCAGTCGCCCGCGGGCGCCGGCCTCCCAGGCCCTCTTCTCTTCCGCCTCAAGGAGCTGTGGCAGCACACGCCGCCGACTGCGAAACAGCGGCTGCCGCCCGCGCGCGCATGCGGCTTGGGCAGGAGCAAGGAGGAGACGTTCGACCTGCTGGACAGCCACGTCGACCTCAATGGCGACACGACGGCGCTTGTCGGCGAGCTTCTCTCGCGCGGCTTTCTGCCGCCGGACGAGACGCTCGGGTCGAGTGCTCTGCGGGCGCTTCACACCTGTGAGCGGCGTCTCTTCACGGGCGGGCGGTGTGAACAGGCGGCACGGCCTCATCGGCGGGCTGGTCTGGACGCGGCCGGAGCTCGCGGCGGAGCGGCTGCTTGCGGGCACGATCGCCCTGGACAAGCCTCAGCCGACCATCGCGCGCGCGCTCGCGGCCGCCATCGCCGACTCGAGCAGCGAGCTGACCGACCGTGCGGTGAAGCACTTTGGCCGCTTCGTCGACCTCCTGTGCGAGAGTTTGCCGCGGAGCACCGAGGGCCATGCTAAGCAATGAGCTCATTCGTCAATCAATTAGGTCCGAGAGCCTGCCGCAGAGCACCAACGCTGCGCTCGCGATGGCCGGGCCGCTGCTGGCGGTGGCGGCGCGGCTCAAGGAGGAGGAGCGCAGGCCGATCCTCGGCGCGCTCTCGGGCATCTACCTCGGGCCTGCGCCGGGCGAGACGCGCGTGGCCGAGGTCGTCCACCCGCGCGCGGGCGCTCTGGCGTGGTTCACCAACCGCACGGCGCTCCACCCCTCCGTTGAGACTGTCCCTCCGCACCCGAGAGGCCACCCGAGATCACCCGAGGTTAGGTGCTCCAGCCCTCCTACGAGATCTTCCTCGACACGGCGATCCGCGCCATCTCGCTCCGCGAGCTCGTGGGCGCCGTGCGGCCCGTCGAAAGCCTTCGCGTCAGCCGCGGCTTCCAAGAGCGGCTGCACGCGTGGGCGCTTGCGCAGCTCGAGAGGCGCGATGCCACCAGCACGCAGCAGCTGCTGCAGTTCCTCACCCGCTGGCTCGTCAAGCTCTGCACGGCCGAGCAGGTCGTCACCTGGTGGCTGCGCGCCGTCGACGCAGCCAACTCGTGGTCCTTCTTGCTCGCCTCGCTTCCCGCCGCCTCGGCGGCGAGTGAATGCGACGAGCGGCTGCACGCTCGTGTCGCCGAGCTGCTCGAGGGCGACACGTGCGCGACGCCGGCGCGCGCCGACGCGGTGCTGCTCGCCTTTGCCGCCCTCTGGCCGCAGAAGGTGCTGTCCCAGGTGGGCATTGCCGCGTGGCTCCCGCTTAGCCGCCGTCGCGCGTCGCCGCCGCCGAGCGTGGTCTCGGGCACGCTCGCCAGCGCTCGCACGGCGGAGAGCGCCGCGCACATCAACGACGCGCTCGCGCCCGAGGCTGAGATGGCGCGCGTGCTCGCGGCGCACCCGCTGATGCACAAGACCAAGACGAAGAGGGAGTTCGAGCAGCTCGAGGATTGGGTGCTCCGCCTCGAGCCGCGCCTGCTCCGTGCGGCGCCTGTCCAGGCGCGGCTCGTAGAGCTGCCCTGCTCGGCGGACGGGCTGAGAGGGGGGGCAGGGGCGGCAGGGAGGCAAGAGGCGCAAATCACGATCTCTGAGGGAGCCGGGGGGGGTCGCCGTCGCCCTAACGCATCCATTCACAATGAGCTAACCAATCAACTCATTAGGCGCGGCTCGTGGAGTTGCTCTGCGCGACTTGGTCCGACCGCGCGCGGCTGCTCGTCCTGTGCGAGAAGTTCGCGTTCAAGCTGCTCGTCGTGAGCGAGACGTGCGCCCGCCCCGCGGTTAGCCCATTCGCCACTGGTTTGATTCGCACGCCCGAGCCCGCACTCGGCCCGGGGGGAGGCCACTGGACCTCTGCCCCGCAGGCCGGGGGACATCGCGTCGCTCGTCACTTTCCTCCGCAAGTGCCCGCACCTCGGCGGCAAGCACGACTTCCTCAAGCGGCAGCTGGCGCGGTATGCGTCCGCCTCGACCGGTGGAGGCCTCAAGCTCGCGCCCCTGCTCCCGCTGCTAGAGGCGTTTGCCCCAACGGCGGAGGCGCTGATCGACCTGCTGCACGCGCTGCTCTACTTCCCGCTGTTTGAGATGTGCAACTTTGAGATGTGCAACGATGTCGTCGACCCGCCGGTGGTAGCGCTGCTATACCGTCTCCTCGCGGCGGAGGAGGAGGCGGAGCGGCGCGTGCTCCTGCTGCGCTCCTGCCGCTTCCGCACGCCGCCGCCGCCTGAGCGAGACGAGTGCGTCGATAGCGAGGCCTTCGAGGCCGCCGCCACTGCCGCCGCCACTGCCGGCACTGGCGTCGCCGCGGCGACGCCTGACGTGGGCGACGCGCCGCCGCCCCTCGACTTGCCGTGCCCACTCTTCCGGCACTTCGGCCCTCACGGCGAGGCGGTGGTGCTCGAGTACCTGCGCTCGGCCTCGCCCAAATCGCTGGTCAAGCTCTTTGGCGGCGGCGGCGAGGCCGAGGCACAGCAAGAGGGCGCCGCCTTCGCCAAGCTGTGCGGCGTCGCGATGCGCTCGTGGCGGCTGGCGGCGTGCCGCCTCGAGGAGGTTGCGGACGTCCTGACCGTGGTCGGCTGGTTCCCGGAGGCGCGCTCCCGCTGCGCGCCGCTCGTGTGGGGCGCGGGCGACGACAGCGGGCGGTTCGAGGCGCTGACGGTCGAGTCGCAGGTGGAGCAGCACACGGCGCAGGTGCGGCAGGTGCTCGCGAGCACGCCGCCCGACCTCGGGGCGCTGCCGCGCAAGTGGTGGCACTGCGTGCCGTGGGGCCGCTGTACCGAGGCCGACTTGGCCCAGCTGGTGGGCGCGGGGGTCGAGGTGCCCCTCAGCGAGGTGGGCTTCGCGGCGCGCGGCTGGCCCACGCAGCAATTGCTGCTCGAGGCGCACGCCGACGACGTCGCCGCGCTCGTCGAGTTCGCGCCGCAGGCCGAGGGGCCGATTGGGGTGCGTCGCGGCGCCAACCCACACGCCGAGATCAGCCGAGATTAGCCGAGGTTGCCCGAGTTTAGCCGAGTTTAGCCGAGGCTAGCCGCCTCGCGCACACGCCGAGCTTGCCGCCGCATCAGTTCACGCCGGCCCCCCTCGCCCGCGCAGGTGTACCTCCAGCGGGTCTTCGAGCTGCTGCCGGCGTCGGACAGCCTGCTGCGCAAGCTGGGCGACGGCGTCGAGGACGAGGAGCGGCTGCAGAGCGGGTGGAACCAGCTGCTGCACACACTCCTCGCGAAGATTAAGCTGCGCATCCGCGAGCAAGGCAACCCTTTGCACTCCGAGGAGCAGCTGCTGCTCTTCGGCGGCTGCGCCACACGGCTCGCCGACCCGTCCAACTCAACGCACGCCCCGGCTACCGCGTGTCCTCGGTGGCGGTGCTGCTCTCTCTTCACACGCCCACCTGTGGACAGGCTACTCGCCGACCTGATGGAGGCGAAGTTGGTCGACCCCTCGCACATCTTCGAGCTCATCAAGTTCGTCCTCGGCTGCAAGTACGTGCCCAACCAAAGCGGGCTGCTGCACGTCGTGCGCGACTCGGCGCTGCGCGCGATGATGCGCCTCGACAAGGGCGCGCTCCTGCCCGGGCTAGTCTCGGCCAATCTCGCTGACATTGGCGCCTCTCGTCTCGAATCTTGGCCAGCCTCCTCCCCTCCCACCCAATCAGGAGAGCGCGACGAGCTGCACCGCACGCTACTGCAGGGGAGGGAGAGCGCGCTGCCGCTGCAGGCGCCATCTTTGATCTTAGATAGTTGAAACACGAGTTCATTCTAGTTGACATCATTGACACGAATCAGCTCCTCGCGGCAGGTGCTCTTTTCCCTCGCCGTCACGGAGCTCGAGGGGTCCGGGCACCCCCTTGTGGTGCGCCAGGTAATAATCCCCCCTAGGGGGAGATTTCCCGAGAGCCCCTTTTTTTTTGGAAATGACCGCCCCCCCCCCCCCCCCCCACTTCCTCCCCCACGACCTCCCTTCACCCCGCCAGACGGAGAGGCTCGATGCCGACGGCTGGCTTGAGCTCCTCTCGCTCGTCAAGGACGCGAACCCGGTCAGCGGCAAGGTGCACACCTTCCCGCGCTCGCTCGGCCCGCTCTTTGCCGAGCGCTTCCTCGCTCGCTACTTGCGGGACGACCCGACGCTGCCGCCCCGCCACCCGCACCGCGCCGCGCGCGACGCGCGCTACTACCTCCTCTTCGTCGCCTGCACGCCTCCGGCCGGCGTCGCGAGGTACGTGCTCGGCATGCTGGCGGGGCAACGGCACGAGCTCGACGATATGTTGCTCGGCTCGCTCGCTTATCGGATGAGCGGCGCCGAGTTCCGGGAGGTCATCGAGTACATCCAGCCTTCCGCCTGGCCCTCGCGGCTGCAATGGGCGCTCACGTGCGTCGCCGAGCGGGGAGAGGCGTCCAGATGTCGAGAGCGCCCGAGGGCACCCGAGCTCAGCCGAGATTAGGTGCGTCATCGAGATGGGAGACACGTGCGAGATGCTGCGCCACGTACTCGACGTGCTCGCCGCCTTTGGGGAGGGGCTCCTCGCGCAGCTCCTCAAGGCGCTCCTCACAGATCCGCTGCTGGCTACCACGGCCAAGCTGCTCGCACAGGCCGAGCCGCGCACGCTGCTGCGGCAGCGACTGCCCAAGGCGGAGGGCAGCGCGGCGTCGCGCGCGCTGTGGCTGGTATACCACCGCGAGGCGTGGCGGGCGGGCGCGCCTTACACGCGTGAGGAGCTACGCCGCGACGCGCACCTCACGGCCAAGGCGCCGCTGAGTCGGCCCGAGGTGTTTCGCGCTCGGCTCCGGCGGCCCCTCGTAACAGATTCCCCGAGGCGACCCGAGATGGCCCGAGAGTAGGTGCTGCTTCTCGGCGTGGACGCCCCCTCGTACAAGCTCCTGATCGAGGAGGCGCCGCAGCACGCGGTGTGTGCCTTCGCGTACCGGCTGCTCGAGGCGGAGCCGGCCTTCGCCGCCAAGCTCTCCCAGGCACAGCTCCTCTCCGTCGTCGAGCTGACCGCCTCCGGCCTCCGCGACGACGCGCATTGGGAGACGTGCCGCCGCGTGGTGCCGGCGGTCGAGCCCGCGATCGCGCTCCGCCTCTCAATCGACCTCTTCAAGGCGTCGCGCGAGCTCCCCGACCTGCAGCTGCTCAAGCACGCGTACCACCGCGTCGACTGCTTCACGCGCAAGCAGGTGTGGCTGCCTGCAGAGCTGGGCGCGCTGTGGACGTCCCACCGCGACGCGCTGCAGCGCGAGGTGGTGGAGGGCGCGCTGCCGCACGCGACCACGCTCGGCGGCATGTTTTCCGCCCACGTGCCTCGGCTGGACTCCGCCTCTGAGGCGGCCGAGGGGGGCGCAAAGCAAGAAGGACGCCTCTGAGACTAGCTTCTGAAAGCGACGCCTCTTTGTCTCTGCTCCGCTGGCACGTGCGGGCCGTTCGTGCGAAGACGCTGCCCTTGTTTCGCTCTCCTCTCGGCCGACCCCGTCCCCGACCCCGTGTGCGTCTAGTAGAATTCCCACAGCGGCAAGAGCCAAGAATTCGGTTTTCGCATATCATTTGACATTTCATATGTCAACACCGCCCCGATGACGTTTACGTAGTCTCTTTAGACCTCGGGCAATTGCCCCATCCTTCACCGTCTCTACATGAAAGGCTCGCTCTGGTGTAAGTGAATGTGCGAAGGCATGGATGCGAGGGCTGCACACACAGTTGTGGCCACAGGGTGCTGCCGCGCTGGCAGGAGCGAGCCTTACCTTCATGTTCGGCGCTGCTGCTTCGGATACGGCATGGACAAGAGGCTGATCCAGCGTGTGATCCTCGTGTAGCTCTTTCCCCTTCCTGAGGATTGGGCCACTCGTGCTAGTCGTAGATGTCCGTAGTGCGAGTGCGCGTAGATTCAGGTGGGTTGTAATTCTCAATAGAATCAGCATCCCCATGTGGCTCATTGAGCTCAGCAAGACTTGGGCGGGCGCTGACGGCGCCGCCTTCGTCGCCATGGGGGGTAGGCCAGAGGCCATTAGACCCACACCCCCAAGCAAACGGACGTGCAGGGATGCGGGGTGATGCTGAGACCAGAGCCGGAGACAGTCGCACACGACTGGGACACCGCTACACCGGTGTGAAGGTTTTGTGTTTACCTGGGCCCCGAACATGCTTCGCCAGTGTGTTCGCTAAGCTCGGCGGACGGGCCGGGGGCCAGCTGTTTCCGAAGCACTGCACAATTCAGCCCGAGGAGAGCTACCTAGTCTCTCATCTTAAGGGGAAGGACCCTGAGTTGCACAGGGGTTGTGCGCCAGGCCCTCCTGCTCGGCTCCAGCGAGTAGACAAGTGTTGCCATCAACAGAGGAGAAGAATCTGACCTCAGGGCTGATGTGACCAAGGTAGCGTGGTTTTACCTCACACCCATGGTCTCACAGTGTATGCCGGCAGTCGTCGAGCAGTGTCGCTAACCAATGTGAAGGTGAAGGTGAAAAAATCGGCGCGCGGGCCTCCTGGGGCTGCGCCCCAGACCCCCTTGACTGGGGGGACCCCCCCCAAGAGCACCCCCGTCGCCCCCGGGGGCCCGTCGACTACCCAGGGGCGCTGTCGAGGTTCGCCGAGCGTGGCGCAGGTTGGAGGACACCGTCACCGACGAGCGCGTTGGACTTTTCACTCCGGACAAAGACGGCTACACGCACACGAGCCGTGGTCGTGTAGCCGTTAGCGGCGAGGCGCGGGACCGTCTGTGGCGAAGTGGGTCGCGTCCTCCGATTTCCTCAACTCACGGTCCTTCCCCCGTACAGCGTACTATCTCGGGGCGCGCTTGCGTACTTTAGTTGCGACATGCGATGAGCGATCACCCTCAAGCGATTGTCCAGACGCGCGCCGTGCGTCTGTAGTCCTCGTAGACCATGGCTGGTCGTGAGGGGATGGTGGTGGGTTCTCGAAAAAGAAGAGCGCAAGGGGGGACATAGCAAGAAGCGAGGACGCAGCTACGCAAGTCACGGGCGCGCCTCTACAAATTGGCAGGTGCCGCCCCTGTCTACAAAGGGCGCCCAGCCGTCGAGCTCCTTCTGGCAGAGCGGGCATGTGTACACGCGCTCGCCGCCTGGGGCGTAGCCGTAGGGGGTGCCCGTCTCGTCCGTATCCTCGCCCAGTTCCTCGGCGATGAGATTGTCGAAGCTGTTGAAGGGGCTGCCTGGGCGCGGCGGCGGTGCCCGCAAGTGAAAGGCGAGTCGGTCCTTGCACTGCATGCACACCGAGTGGCCGCACGGCTCGAGGCTCGCAAAGAGGGCCTCCTCCTGCTTGCGGAATGGCACGCCGTACAGGTGCGGTATGTATTCCGCGAAGCAAATCGGGCAGTCGCCGCGCGTGTCCGCCGGCTCGACGACGCCGCAGATCTGAAAGACCTGGAGGAGGAAGTTGGCGGCGCTGAAGTCGCAGCCCTCCACGCTCAGGGGCGAGTGGCCCAGCCGATCGTCGCTGCGGACGGCGGGGGCGAGGCGGGGTGGGGGGTGGGGGGGGGGGGGTAAAGGGGCGGGTAAGGAGGAGGATGACGCGGGCGGCGGCGCGGTGAAGCTCGGTGAAGGTTGGGACAGCACGACGAGAGGGCGCGGGGGGTTGAGAGGCGGGGGAAGGCGAGGCGTGGGGAGGGGGTGGGGGGGTGGGGGGATCTACGCGCTCGCGCACAGCTGTTTGCACTCGCGCCACGTGAGCTTGCCCCACCGCTCGAGCACAACGCGAAGGGAGGCCGGCTCGACGACCATCCGCCGGTGCAAGTGGCGCGCGGCCGCCTCGTTCGACGGCAGCCGCGCCTCGACGGTCTGATCGGCGCGGAGGTGTGCATAGATGTCGACCTCGACGATGTGCTGGATCAGCTGCGCGTAGAGCATGAGGCGTACCGCGTGGGGCCGGTCGGCGAGCCACGCAAAGCAGTCGGCGTGCCGCGGCCGGTCGTACCCGTCGAGCACGTCGCGCGTGATGCAGTCGCAGCCGGGCCTTACCCACTTGCCCGCCTTCTCGGGCGGCGGCTCGCAGGCGGGCGCCAGACCTGCGCGGCGAGAACAAGGGTCGTGTGTGTGTGTGTGTGTGTGTGGTGTGCGCGTCGTGCCCGCCGCGTGAGTGCACGGGCTGTGCATGCAGAGAGTACAGCTGAACGCGTGCTCAGCTGAACGTCTCGAGTGTACGTCTCGAGTGTGGTGCACGGGGATTCGTAATCTAGGGCGCCAGACCCGGCTCGCCGAGGGCCTCGGCGGGCGGCTCCCCAAAGGTCAAGAAGGCGGCGCGGCGGCGCGGATCGCAGCGCTCCCCGAGCAGCTCCACCGCCTCGAGCTGGGCGAGCTGCCGCTCGAGCGTCGTGGTGGCCGAGCGCCCGTTCGCTCCCGCCGCCGCGCCGCTCGCCGCATAGCCCCACATGGCTGCGCCTTCGGCAGCGCCGTCCCGTTGCGGCGCAGCCTCGGTCACCTCGAGCCAGTAGTCGGCGCCTTGATCTTGGAGGAGGCAGGAGCCGGCTGGGAGGGCCGCCTCGGATATAAAACAGCTCGTCTTCTCGCCCCAAACGCCGGAGAGCTCCACGTGCACGCTTCCTTGCGAGCGGCCCAGCACGGCGGTCACTCTCGGCGTCGTGGACCGCGCGAGCACGGCCGCGAGCCGCCGCTCCGCGTGCCGCGCGTTCACGTGGACCGCGAGGTCCTTGTGGCCCGAAGGCGTCCAGCCAGTCTGGACGCTGGTGCTGGACATCTTGGCAGCCCGGCGGATGGCGAATGGCGGATGGCGGAAACCGAGGCGCGGACAGCCGATTTTTTTGGCTACGAGTAGCCTCCGGTCCGAGGATGTTGGTGATTACAAGAAACACGCTGCCAAGCCTCCCAAGCCAATGGTGTCTAAGGGTCTCTGGCACTCCTGGATGCATGCACGGTCACAACGGAGTAGCAATGTTCGAAAGTGTCCGAGCGGTCCCGAGCCGTCCCGAGCCGTCCCGAGCCGTCCCGAGCCGTCCCGAGCCGTCCCGAGCCGTCCCGAGCGGTCCCGAGCGGTCCCGAGCTGTCCCGAGCGGTCCCGAGCCGTCCCGAGCAGCGAGCTGTCCCAACGGCCTAGATGCTAAAGTTCGACCGGCGGGGGCGCGGCGCTTGGGCCAGCTTCCTGCAGGCGCGGATCAAGCCATGGGAGTATGGTCTTGGGGACAAGCAAGGCTTACGTCGGGCAGCGGCAGATCATCACAGAATGGAAGGGCCGGAACCTGTCCCTCGAGAAACAACGGTTCAACAAGACGGTGCAGCACTACCGTGGGCGTGTGGAGCACCTCATTGGCCAGGTAGTGGACAACCGTATGGCTCTGTGCACTACGTGGCGCGGCTCAATCACCCTGCTTGCCGCGGTCAACTCATGAAGATCGCGGCGCACATGGTTGGGCTCCAGGATCGTATGAAGGGACCTAGGTATGATGTGTTTGGCCCGTGGCCGGTGTGCCCGCCGCACATTGCGGCGCAGTTTCCTTAGTGCTTTGCTGTTATTTGCTAATCTCATGAATTGTTTACCATTTCTTCTCACACTGCAGCACCTCCGCGCCGCCCAGCCGTGCAGCCCAGCCAGCCGGAGGCGGGCCGCAAAAATGTCCCAGCCGCGCCCCCGAGCGAGGCCGAGCGGTCCCGAGCGGTCCCGAGCGGTCCCGAGGGTCCCGAGCGGTCCCGAGCCGTCCCGAGCGGTCCCGAGCCGTCCCGAGCGGTCCCGAGCGGTCCCGAGCGGTCCCGAGCGGTCCCAGAGCACCCCAGAGCACCCCAGAGCCTACCTGAGAGCCCACGGCCGCTTGGCAGGCACCTGCCTCGAGCCTGTTTCTTGTAATGACTAACATCCCGAGCCTAGTCTCTGGGGGGGTCGGGACCGCATGTGGTGAAGGTGCTGGGGGGGTCGGGACCCCCCCCCTAGCATGTGGTGAAGGTGCTGGGGGGGGTCGGACCCCCCCCTAGCATGTGGTGTGGAGAGAAGTGCGCCCCCCTCCCTGGAAGCGATGTGCGCCTGCTCTAGGTGGTCGAAGGTTGGTGGTGCATGTAATTTAGGTAGCAAAATAGTGTAAGAGGTCGTTAGGCAGTTGCGCCACGGCCTTCTTTAGTAAAAGGCGAAAGAAGGGCAGGTATGACGTAACCGCGATACCGTCTTCACAGTGAATTCGGGCACTCTTGAAGCGGCTCGGAACCAGGCAGCTTGTGGCGGGGCCCCCGTCGGCACGCGCCGAGGTGTTGCCTCGCCCACAGCAGGAGGAGGGAGAGGGCTGTCTAGTGTAGAGGGCGGCACGCGGCAGGGGGTCGCCGACGCGATACGCGTACAAATGGCGGCGCGGCGCGCGGCGACGGCGCGGCCACGCTCCGCGGCAGCCGCCTAAAAAGAAAGAAAACACCGGCCCAAGGATGGAGGACGGCAAGTCAATAAAATATCTTTTCCTTTTTCCTGTGTCGAACCTGTGTCGAACCCTGGCGAGAAGAGACCACGCCTGCTATTCACAGCAGAACCTCGCCCCGCTTCCGAAAATTCGCCTCGAAAAATTCTCTTTTCGATTGCGGAGAGCGTGTGTGTGTGCGTAGGTCGTAGCTGGTGGTGCGTAGGTGGTGGTGCGTATAGGTGGTGGTAGTGGTGCGTAGGTCGTAGCTGGTGGTGCATGTAAATTTAGGAAGCAAAATAGTGTAAGAGGTCGTTAGGCAGTTGCGCCACGGCCTTCTTTAGTAAAAGGCGAAAGAAGGGCACGTATGACGTAACCGCGATAGCGTCTTCACAGGTGAATTCGGGCACTCTTGAAGCGGCTCGGAACCAGGCAGCTTGTGGCGGGGCCCCCGTCGGCACGCGCCGAGGTGTTGCCTCGCCCAGCAGGAGGAGGGAGAGGGCTGTCTAGTGTAGAGGGCGGCACGCGGCAGGGGGCCGCCGACGCGATACGCGTACAAATTCCGCGGCAGCTGCCTAAAAAGAAAGAAAACACGCGCTGCAAGGGATGGATGGAGGACGGCAAGTCAATAAAAATATCTTTTCCTTTTTCCTGTGTCGAACCTGTGTCGAACCCTGGCGAGTAGAGACCAATCACAGCAGAACGTCAAAAAAATTCTTTTCCCTTGCGAGAGAGCGTGTGGGAGAGCCAGCTTCGCGCGCGACGGCTACAATCTGCAAAGTCTCCCAGCGAGAGCGATGCCTGCCAAGGGCACGCCCGCGTGGCACGCCGCGCAGAAGGCGCAGGCAGGCGGCAAGCCGCAGGTCGACAAGACGTTTGGCATGAAGAACAAGAAGGGCAAGGCCGTGCAGGCCAAGTTCCACACGCAGAACGGCGGAGCCGACAATGCGGCGCAAGAGAAGCGGCGCGCAGAGATGAAGAAGGCGGAGCAGGAAGCGATGAACGCGCTGCTGTTCCAGGCGCGCTCCGCAGCCCACCCCGGCCACAGGCGGCTGCGCGCGCCCGAGTGAGCGGGGATCGCCGGCCATCGGAGGGGCTGCTGTTGCAGTGCTCACGCATTGACGCAGCGCGGGGGCGGAGCGCCACGGGGACAGTCGGGGGTGGACACCGCGACAGAGAGGGACGGGGCCGTCGCCGGCCGTTCGGCTGTGCGTTGCGGCCGCCGCGAGGAGACCAGCTGTCAGCGGCCAGTGTCGCGCCGCCAGCCGAGGAGGAGAGAGGAGGAGAGGGGAGGGGAGGGGAGGGGAGGAGAGCTGCAGCGGCGGCGGGGACGGAAGACGCAGCAGAGTGAAGCAGCGGCGCAGCAAGAGAGAGACAGGGGGGTAGATCGCCGCCACCCATCAGCGCTGCGGCCGTCCCTGGCCCATCCCTCCCCACCCCTCCCCACCCCTGCCCCTGGCGCTGACCAGCCGCCCCGTCGCACCGCGGCGCGCGCAGGAGGCGAAGAAGAAGAACGAGAAGAACAAGGAGAAGGCGAAGAAGGAGGAGAAGAAGAAGGAGGAGGACAAGGCGCCGCCCGAGAGACGCTCGCGCGCAGCCGAGACGCGAGCACAAGGCAGCGGCGAGCCGCGAGGTCGTGTGTGGGTAGGAGCCGACGGAGATGCTTGCGCGGATCGAGTGGCTCAAGAAGCGAACGACGACCCGCACGCCCGTCACGCTCGACCGGCTAAAGGCGCGGATGCATGCATAGATGCATAGCTGGGGGGAGAGAGGCGAGGCAGCAGGTCGAGCCACGGCTAGACAGGCGAGCGCCTTCAAGAAGGCGAGGGCGGCAGAGGGCGAGGGCGGCGTGAGAGACGGGTCGCGCGGGAGCGGCACACAGACCAAGAGACACCTCACTCGGCCAGCTGACACTGCCACGCCCCCGGAGCGTATCCTCTTGGGCGGTGGTGTCGTTGACCCTGCCGTCGCCGCCTGGACGCCGAGAGGAGCGACCTTCGGTGGAGCTCCCCACCACTCCCTCTTGATGTCGGCCGCGATCTCCAGCGATCTCCAGCGATCTCCAGCGATCTCCAGCGATCTCCCGCGATCTCCCGCGATCTCCCATGGCTGCGTGCAACGTCGCTCAGAGCACCCCCCCCCCCCCTGCTCGCCAGGCGTGGATCGAGAGGAAGAAGGCCAAGAAGGAGGCGGAGCGGCTCGCCAAGCTGGGCAATGCCAAGGCGGCGCTCTCGTCGGGCAAGAAGCTCGCCGGCGTCACTGGCCGCGAGCTCTTCCAGGTGCCTCTCTCTGCCTCTCTCCCTCTCTGCCTCTCTCTCTCTCTCTCTCTCTCTCTCTCTCTCTCTCTCTCTCTCTCTGCCTCTTTCTCTCTCCCTCTCTCTCTGCCTCTTTCTCTCTCCCCCTCCCTCTCTCTCTCTCTCTCTCTCTCTCTCTCTCTCTCTCTCTCTCTCTCTCTCTCTCTCCCTCCCTCCCTCCCTCCCTCTCTCTCTCTCTCCCTCTCTCTCCCTGCCTCTCTCCCTTTCTGCCTCCCTCGGCCTCTCCTCTCGTCCCCGACTGCCCCCCCCCCCCCTCTCCCCAAGGTGGACTCGACGCTCTTCGTCGACGATGCCGAGGCCGCCGAGGACACCTTCGACGAGCGCACCGGCGCCGGCACGCTCTCCGACGACGAGGAGGGGGGCGAGGAGGGGGCGGCGCGTGCCGGGGGCGGCGAGGCGGCAGCAGGGTCCCACCCCGGCGCCTCTGTCAGCGACCTGGTTCTCGGCGCGCGGACCAAGGGAAGGGAAGGGGGGGGGTGCGGACAAGGCACACCCTCTCCTGAAGTGTCTCGGCGGTGTCGTCGCAGGCGAGAGGGTCGAGGGGCGGTACATGGGGGGCAAGGCGTGGTATGGCGGCGTCGTGCGCGCGGTCGCGGCCGACGGCACCCGCTCCTCTCGTCCGGAGTGCGACGGCGCGGCGCGAGCCCTATAGGTGAGCCATGTCGGTCCTTGTCCTGCAGGCACGGCCACGCTCGAGTACGAGGACGGCGACATCGAGGAGAGCGTGCCGCGCGACTTCATCCGTCCGCTCGACAGGGCGCCGCCCGCCGCCGCGGCTGGCGACGCGGCCGGGGGGAGCGGCGCGGCGGGGCCGTCCGCCGCGGGGACGTCTGCCGCCGGCGCGTCTGCCGCCGCCGCCGCCGATGCCGTCGCGCTGGTGGAGGATGAGTCGCTCTTTGCGGACGACGACTTTCCGGAGGACGACGAGCTGGGCGCGGCTGCGGCGCCGGCGGCGGGCAAGGCGCCGGCGGCGGGCAGCAAGGCGCCGGCGGCGGCCGTGGACCTGAACGCCGTGGACGAGTCGCTGTTCCTCGACGAGGATTTGCCCTCCGACGACGACTAAGGCGGCGCTAGGCCGGGCGGGAGGAGCGGGGAGGGCCAGGCTGGGGTTAGAGAGGGGCTGCCACCTAGACCGGAGAGTGTAGACGGGCGGCGGCGGTAGGCAGCGGGGGGAGGCGGCGTGCACGCTGTGCCGGATCGACCCGGCCGACGACGCGTGTTGCGTGCACACCACGCGGACCACGCGGATATACGTACACATGTCGAGTTAACTAAACACCGCTGCCAAATACCCACGCCCAGCCGCTCTGCCACGGCAGCTTCTGAGCCTGTGCGCTGTGGCTGTGCCCGTTTCACGCGCGTCAGCGACAGCGTCCACGTGCGTCAGCTTCTCACTGCCTGCTTCGCGGCCTTGATGATGCGCGAATGGCACTCCTTCGCCGACAGCTTTTGCCGCGGACCGGGAAGCTGGCAGAAGACTGGCTTACCTCGCACCACGTTCTCTCCGCGGGACAGCATGGCGGCCGCGCTCGCAGCGCTCATTGTGTTCGTCTCGGGGTCGAAGTCGTACACCACCACGGTCACCATCCGCTCGTAGATGCCTCTGGACGCCAGGCTGAGCGCCGCAGCCGAGGCATCCTTGGGACGCTCACAATGTGACTGGTGACGCCCACGACTACCGACTACCAGCGCGCTCACAATCCGAGCAAACTCTAGGGTTGCGAGCAGCACTGCTCACAATCCTTAGCAACATGCCTCTGATTGCGAGCAGGAGCGCTCGCAATCCTACATCTTGTAGGACTATGAGCGGCGGCGCTCACAATCGTACCCAAGATCCAAGGATTGCTAGCACCCGCACAGAGGGCGCTCCCAATCGCTCCAGCCGCGAGCGCTTGTGAGTGAGCGCGCCGGGAGGGGACCCGCTCGCAATCCTAGAAGTCGTAGGACTGTGGGCGGTGTCGCTCGCAATCGGCGAAGATAAAATATTCTTAGCTTCAAGCCCCCCTCCGAGACTGGAGACAGTCACACCCCAGTATCAGACCAGGGGGAGTGCCCCCCGCCCCCACTTGCCCTGACTGCACAGGATAGCGTGCCCCGATAACGGCGACACATAGTGGGGGACACCACGCAAGGAGAGGGTGCGAAGGCTCATTGGGGTGCTAGGTGGGACCATGAGGGGGGGTGGGCGGGGTCCTGTGGGGGTGAAATGTTGCGCGGCGAATTCGAACCTACCCCCTCGCCGCGCCGATCCTCACGCGGAGGGTAAAACCCTGTGGGACAAAACCCCCCCGCGGTCGGCAGTCTTCAGAGTGGACCCCCCCCTCCCCAGCCTCCCCTGTGCATCTCGCACCCCCCCCCGCTCCCCATCGGTGACTCGCGAAGGACACGGACACTCGGGGTGAGGGGGGGTCCCCCAGAGAGGGGGCTTTGGGGCATTGTTGGGTTGATCGCTCGTGCCGATCTCGGGTCGATCTCGGGTCGATCTCGGATCGATCTCGTGCCGATCTCGGGTCGATCTCGGGTCGATCTCGGGTCGATCTCGGGTCGATCTCGCACTCGGGTCGATCTCGGGTCTCGGGTCGGTCTTGGGGTTCGGTCTCGGAGTGGTCTAGAAAAGAAAAAATGGGGCGAGATGAGGCGAGATGAGGCGAGGTGAGGCGAGATGAGGCGAGGTGAGGCGAGATGAGGCGAGGTGAGGCGAGATGAGGCGAGGTGTGAGGCAAGGTGAGGCGAGGTGAGGCGAGGTGTGAGGCGAGATGAGGCGAGGTGTGAGGCGAGATGAGGCGAGATGAGGCGAGGTGAGGCGAGATCTGAGGGCGAGATGAGGCGAGGTGAGGCGAGATGAGGCGAGGTGAGGCGAGATGAGGCGAGGTGAGGCGAGGTGAGGCGAGATGAGGCGAGACTAGGAGGCGAGATGAAGCGGGATGTTGTGTGGCTGCTCGTGCTGCCAAGCAGGCAGCACAAGCAGCCATACAAGTGCGCCAACTGCATTGTCTCAGAGGACCAGTGTGTCATGGGTGACCGTTGCGAGGGGGGATCGGCGGCGACACCAGCCCCAACCCCTGCACCGACCCCGTCCGGTCCAACGCCGACACCAGCGCCCACTCCGACCCCTACCTCGCCGACCCCTGTCCCAAACCCCGCACCCACTCCAACCCCTACCCCAGCACCAATCATAGACCCGCCGCCGGGCCCGTTGCCCTATTGCGACGTGCCCCCGCCAGTAGAATTGCCCCCCGACGAGGAGGAGTCGGAATGCTATGGCTGCACTGAGAACAGGCCCTGCTGCCATACATTCCATACTGTCGGCTACTTAGCCGGGCAAGAGTTTAAGTGTACGGATGGATGCCACACTTTGGAAGGCTACGCCACTTGCCAGGAGAACGAAAAGCTGGGAATGATCGCACTTTACATTTGGTGCAACCGCCCGCCGCCCGTCTACACGCCGTCGCCGCCGTGCATCCACCGGCCGCCGTCGCCGCCTCCCCCGCCGAAACCTCCATCGCCGCCTGCGTGCACATCGAGTCAGGAGGAAAGCGGCGAGTGCAGTTGCAAACGTGAACGTGGCGGGGTATACATTGGACCCAATGGTGGGGGGACGGGTAGCAGCAAGACAGTGTATTGTGGCTTCAATTGCAAAAATTGCCGCAAACATTCTCCAATGTACATCCACGACGGCCTCATAATCACGACCAACACCCCAAACGTACATGTGTACCGGCCCTGCATATCCGGAGGGCAAGGGAACTGCGAAGGCCAAAACTCCTGGGGACAACACCTCTGCGTGACCTGCGATGGGGCATAACACGTGTGCTGAATGTTTTACTCGATGGCGGTTCGGGCGGGCAATGACTTCGCGCATGAGGTTACTTCCCCCAGGATTGGTCTTCTCTGCCTGCGGGAACACCCTCGGGCGGCCGGGTGGGGCTGCGGCTGGAGCTAGCATGGCTCGGTAGTCCGTCACAGAGCGGTCGGACTGAGTCACCGAGGGGTGAGTCACGCGTCCGCCTGCCTCGCGCGCGCCTTGTGGCACAGCACGGCATGGGCCATGGAGTTAGCGGAATCGACCACCAGCCCCCAAAGATCGCTTTTCTCTGACACCAAAACGCACCCCACTATCGCTACTAGTGCCGGGGCAGCTAAACGACAATTCGAGCAGACAATCCTAAGTCGTCAACACTAAGGCGCCGTGCGGGAGCCCACTCCTCACGCTGTCGGCGAGCGCGTCGGTGTCGGCCTGCCCGTGCGGGAAGCGGTGCCCGTCGGGAAACTCGAGGTACTCCGCCGACGCGTACTGCCCCGCAAGCTGGCGGCACCACTCGTAAAACGGATCGTCGCGGCCCTGCGCCACCGTCGCCGGGAAGTCGAGCGGCGCGGAGAAGAGGGGCGCAAAGGCGTTCGCGCGGACCGGCATCCCGCAGACGAGGACGTTGTGGCTCCACGACGGCGGTCGGCCGGCGGCGAGGTGCGCGGCGGTCAGCAGCGTGATGAGGATTGCGCCCTGCGAGAAGCCAAGCAGCGTGTCTGGGCGGTGCCGCTCGACTGCCTCCTCGAGCCGCGTCATCGCCTCCTCGGCGTGAGGGTAGCGGACCGTGACGCTCTCGTCCATCAGCGCCCGCAGGTAGGCAGCCGGCTCGCGCGTCCCCTCGTAGGCGTCGTGCTCGACATCGTACCAGCTGAGGAACGGGCCGTCGAAGCGCGCGGCGACCGCAGGGTCGATGTATGTCTGCTCCAGCGCGCCCTCGACAAAGACAAACTCGGCCTCCGACTTTAGCGTGCGCCTCAGCTTGGCGGTCTGCACGCGCATGATCGCCTCGTTCGTCCCGCCGCCGTGGCAGCACAGGACGCGAGGGAGTGCGGCGGCCGCCCCGAGCGAGGTTGCTGCCCACCGTGTCTGACGTGACGGTCGGTATAACCGAAGCGGTCAGCAATGGCGACCCCCACCTCGGATTTGCGCACGGGGGCGAGGCCGATTTTCGAGGCCGGCACGGCGTGTTCTACAACTTCTTCTCCGCGCCTGACTTCGGCGTCAACGTCAAGACGGAGGAGTCTCGCTTCTTCCTGCACGGGAACAAGCTCACCGTCGACGGCACCTTCATCACCGAGGCGCACGTGGTCGTGCGCAACCGCACGCCGGCTCACACAAAGTGGGCCAACGCCTCCTTCATCGCGGCGAACTTAAACGAGTTCAACACGGGCTGGGCTTTTGTCAGGGCAGCTGCGGCGGCGCAAACTTCACGCGCGGGCTCGGCAGCCCCAAGAAGACTTGCGGCCGGCTGACCGTCAAGACCAGCTTTTCGGGTGCGTCCTTCACCGTCGGGAACTGGACGCTGACCGTCCACGGCAACTACGTCTACGGCCGCATCTCCGGGCCCCAGCACCGCCTTGACCTCGCCTTCTAAGGCCCGTGGCGACGCGCCCGCGCGCTCGCTGCCGCACGGCATCATCGGACAGTCCTTCTCGTCGACGGCCCCGCGCCATGGAAAGAAGGACCTCTACCCCAAGGAGGGCCGCACCGTGACCTCTGCAATGGCGGAAGGCGCGATCGAGGGGCGTGCGGCGCAGTACGAGATGCCGTCGCCCCACGCCACGAACTTCGCGTTCTCGCGCTTCGAGGGCGCCGAGGCGCCGGCGCCACGCCTGTCACCTCCTCTGGCCGACATGGAGGCTTCCGCCACAGAGCGGTCGGACTGAGTCACCGAGGGGTGAGTCACGCGTCCGCCTGCCTCGCGCGCGCCTTGTGGCACAGCACGGCGGTCTGGTTGAGGAACATCTGGCGAGGGGAGAGCGCCGAGGAGACGATGCGCGTGTGGAGGTGGCTAGGGCGTTGACTGGAACCGCGGCGTTGCTCCTTCAGGACGCCGCCCAGGCGCCGGTGGCCTCTCAGCTCATAATGGAGGGGAGGCGCTCCACCGGGTTATGGACAGGGGGGGGCGGGGGGGTTATATAGCACACCAGGCGCTATCAACTTCTATTAGACGATGGGCACAATCACGCGAGCTAGACATGCAGCATCCTACTCTGGGCTAGGGCAAACCCGATCGCGAGCACGCCCGCGAGCGCGGCGGCGCTCGCCAACAGCCTGCGAGGCCGCGGCGCGGCGCTACCTTCGTCGGCCGCGAACGTGCCCGCGTGGACAGAGCCGCGGCACGCGACCCCTCGCAGGCGGCGCGCGAGCACAAACTCGTGCGCCAAATTCTGCACGATGGCGCGCAGCGGGCCGACGCCTTCGGCGGGCGCGCCGGTGCGCGCGAGCGCGAGGATGGAGCAGTAGTACCACGACTGCTGGCCGAGGAGAGGCAGCAGCCGCAGCAGCTTGAGCGGCGCGCGGCGGAGCCACCGCCAGCTCGTCGGGCCGGCGTGCAGGCTCTCCTCGAGGCGCGGGAGCGCGCTCAGCGTGCCGTCGAGCAGCTTCGCCGCGCCGCGAGGGTCTCCGCAGAGCGGGCGGCCGAGCCCGATCACGTCGCAATCGCCGGAGGCGAGCGCGGCGCGCATTGCGCGCGCGGTGCGCCAGCCGCCGGTGACGAGGAGCGGGAGCGTCGGCGGAGCCGCTGCGTCGAGCGCCGCGCGGATGCCGACGGCATACTCGAGGAAGTACGCCTCGCGCAGGCGCGTCGACTCGCGTTTGCCCGCGCTCTGCCTCTTCTCGGCCAAGCTCGCCGGGTTGGCCGACGTCTCGTCAAAGTAGATGCCGCTCTCGTAGTTTCCTCCGGTGAGCTCGAGCAGGTCGACTCCTTCGCGCTGCAGAGCGAGGGCGACTTCTCTCGCCTCGTCCGCGGTCAGCCCGCCTTCTTGAAAGTCGGCCGAGTTGAGCTTGACCGAGATGCAGAACGCCGGGCCACACGCCGCTCGCACCGCGCGGACCGCGTCCATCAGCGGCCTCGCGCGCCGCGTCAGCTCGCCCGCGTGGTACGGGTCGCCCTCGCCAAAGAGCGAGGCGCGGTTGTTGGCTCGCGGGTTGAGGAAGGAGGAGAGCAGGTAGCCATGCGCCGCGTGCAGCTGGACGCCGTCGAAGCCGCACTCGGCGCAGACCTTTGCCGCGTGGGCGAAGCGCGCGACGACCTCCTCGACCTCGGCGGCCGTCATCGCATGCGGCACGCCGAAGAAGCCCGACGGCATCTCGGTCATCGCGACGTCGCCCGGCCCGACCGGCGCCATGTTGACCATGCCGTTGGACTGCCGGCCGGCGTGCGAGATCTGCGCAATCACCGCGGCGGCGCCCGTGCCCTTCGCCGCGCGCGCCCACGCGGCGAGGCGAGCGCGCGCGGCGTCGTCCTGCGCGCCGTCGATGCACACGTTGCCCGGCCGCTCGACGTACCGCCGGTCGACTTGGACGTTGCCCGTGACGAGCAGCCCCGAGCCGCCGTCGCTCCACTGCGCGTAGAGCGAGGCTAGCTCGGGCGTCGCGCGGCCGAGGTCGTCGGCGAGCGCCTCCGTCATCGCGGCCTTGGCGAGGCGATTGGGCAGCACGACGCCGCACGGGAGGCGAAGCGGCGAAGCGATGTCGACCATCCTGGAGATCAGCCTGGGATAGGCCCGGAGGCGAGCGCGCCGATGGGTTTCTCGGGTTAGTGCACCACTAACCGCCGAACTGCCCCCCCCGGCGAGCAAGTTTACTACCCCGGTACGACCTTCGTCGGCTACTAGCACCCCACGTCCCCACCTCGCACCCCGGTTCCTCCACACCCTTGCCGGTGTTCAGTGTTCGCTGTGTGTGCGTGTGTGAGCTTCTATCGGCCGCGATTATCGGCTTTTGAGTTTTGAGGAACTGCTAGGGGTCAGGGCTCTCTAGCCCGTAGCCCGATGCCGATCATCCGGCTCGAGAGAGAGATTTTTAGCAATACCAAACAACTCTAACACTCACACGTCCTTTCGGGGCTTTTTGTTTAAATCGAGAGAAGAAGAAATCTCCACCCCCACGCATGCTCGGCGGGCTCGCTCGGTCTCCTCGGCTGTATCGCTCGCCATTGCCTTACTACTTACATGGATGGCTCTGCTGTCGACGTCTACGTGCACAGCAACCGGCGGTGGCTGCCGCCGCCGCCTCTGTCGTATCGGGCGCACGCATTCTGGGCAGGCGATCTCCAAAATCTTACGTCGCTGCGGAATGAGTGGGACTGCTGCTGGCGACACCCGTCAAACGTGGATTCCGTCTTCAAATATCGAGAACTGCTCGAGGTGTCCAGGCAACACAGGCGCCGGAAATGGCTGGGCGTGCTCGCGGACAGCGACGTCCTCTTTCAATGCACGGCCGAGGAATTTCGGTCGCAGTTTGCGAAATTCAATTCTCCTCTCGTCATTGGCGGCGAGAGGAAATGGTATCCAATACCCAGGCGGGCGATCGACCCGTTTGGGCCGCCAGCGCACTTGTCGTGGAAGCGGAGGTACACTCTGCGCCACAGCCGCCAATACTATCCGAACAGTGGCCTGATCGTCGGCACGTCGGCTGGCATGGAGGCGCTGGCCGGCGCCATCGAGCAGAATCCGCGCTTCCCGTGCTGCGCGTTGGAGGGCGATACGGCGGGTTACCAGCTCGATTCCTGCGCGTCGTGCCGCCCCTACCGCCACTTCCCAAAGCCCGTCTCGTGCGTGGTCGAGGACCAGGCGTGCATGCAAGTCGCGCTGGCCTCGCGGCGGCACGCGCCTCAGCATGTGGTGGATATCAACTCGTCGCTCATCCTCAACCTTCACATGCTCGCGCCCTCCGACCTCGCGCGCAGCAGCGACGGCCGCATCGCCTTTCGGCACACTGGCAAGGTGCCGTGCGTACTTCACTCCAACGGCTTCAAGAGTGTCATCGCATCGCTCGAGAAGGAGTTCGGGCCGGACACCTTTACGTGGGCGGTGTCGCCGGAAATGCGCCGAAGCCACCTCAACCCGCGAGACGAGCTGCCGGTGTTCAAGCGTGCCGGCGCCCTACTGCTGCCGACCGCGAGCCCTCGACGAGCCAAAGGAGGTCGGCCAAAAGCTCTTGCCGCAGCGCGGAGTTTGTGATGCCGAGCTGAGTCTCTCTCTCTCTCTGAGCTGTGCCTGTGGGTTTCTAGCGTTGAGAGGCCCATGACAGTCCTGACTCCTGAGCGGAGTCCTTTTCCAGGAGAGAGATGTTTAGCAATAGCACACATCATTGTTTTTGCCTTCCCAGTACGATGCGGCTCGCTTAGCCTTAGGAATCCTGAGTTGTTTTCGGCGGCTTGCTCTCTTTCAGCCCTTGTCTGTTTTTAGCAATACCAAACAACTCTAACACTCACACGTAATTTGGGGCCTGGAGCCTGTTCACAGTTTGTGTTTGTCTGTTTTTGTACTTGGCCTATACTCTCGGCCTCCTCCGCGCGCCGCCGGGCGCGAGTGGGAGCCCTCGTGCTCCCGCAATCAACGCCTCGCACCGGGCGCATTCAGAAAAACACCCCGGCCCTCGCCGCATTCACAGCTCGGCAAGCCACCTTGCTAATACCAGGCCCGCTGCAGGGCGCCTGCCATAAGCGAGCCGGCCGCGCCGCCGGGCGACATTACTCGCTCCTCCGTCATGCCGGAGCCCTCGCGGGCTGCGCGGATCGCGGCGCAGCTCGAGCAGCGAGGCATGCTGCTTCCGGGCGTGACGGCGCATCACCTCGGGTGCGACGTGTACGAAGACACGCCCGGGCTTCAGGACGGGCCGGACGCAGACTTTGATGCGGCGCTCGAGGCGTACGTAAAGGTGTGCGGCGGGCGCGTGCGGCCGCTGCGCTCGCCGCGCGCCGACGACGCGCCGCCCGTGCGCTCGCCGCACCCTCCACAGGTGTGCCACGAGTCAAACGTGGACAAGAGCGCGACGCAGGCGTGGCAGCGGTATTGCAAGGCGCCGTTTGCGGAGGCGCTGATGGACCTGGTCGCGGTGTTTCGGACCTCGCTGGTGCGTCCCGCTCCCCTCTACGCGCACCACAGCCCTCCGCTCACACACACCCTCGGCGCACGTCTCCATACACACATCTCCGGGGCGGCTCGGCAAGCGGCGGCGGCGCGGGCGGCGGCGGCTTGAGCGCTGGCGGCGCTGCGTGGGAGAGGGCGCGCTCCCGCGCTTACTCCGCCGCCGCGCCCCGCCTCCCCAGGCGGCCGATGGCTCTCTCCCGCCCGAGGAAGCTGCTGCGCCGGTGCCGCTGCCGGCCGAGCTGGCGAGCACTCCCGCCGGCCAAGGCAGCCTCGGGAAGGGGGGGGAGGCGCTGGCGCCTGTGGACGCGGAGGTGCGTGCTGCTCTTGCGCGCCGTCCCCCGCCGCTCGCCCGCGCCCAGGGCGGCCGCCGCACCGGTCGCGCGTTCGCGCCAACCCCCCCCCCCCCAAAAACACCGTTTTCCCCCCCCAAACCCCCTCCGGTTCTTTCCTCGCCGCGGGGGGGTTATTTGGGGTTTTTTTGCCCCCCTTTTCCCCCCCCCCCCCCCCCCCGGCACTGATCCGCCCCCTCCCCTTTTCCAGGTCTCCTCCACCGCAAGCGGAGACTCTTCCACCGCCCCCTCCACCGCCGCGTCCACCGCCGGTGAGCGCTCAAGCCTCAAGCCGACCCTTCCAGCCCCCGCCCCTCTCGCCGCTGCCTCAGTCCGCCGCCGCTGCCCCGGTCCTTTTGCTGCTCGGCATAGCCGCCCCCCCCCACCCCCCACCCCCTCCCCGCCACCCTCTCCCGCGCCGCCTAGCACCCCTCGCCAGCCACAGGGCAGCATCACCCCACGGGGCGGGCATCACCCCGGGTCAGCAGCAGAGGGGAGCCGGCACGAGGTCAGCACTCTTGTCCCTCCGCCCGTGCTGCAGGCGAGCCGCGCAAGTCCACCGCCCCAACCGGCCGAGAGGCGCCAAGAGCCGCAGATGCGCGAGACAGCGCCGCCTTCCAAAGTAGCGCCGCCTTCCAAAGTAGCACTCGCGCTCCTGTGGCGCGGCTGCACATCGCAGCCCTTGCGCTCACGCGACGCCACGAGCACACCGCCGAGACCCGTCCCCTCCACCTTCGGACCGGGCACGCTCTTAGGCCCTAGCCGGCCGCGAGTCGAGGGTCGACCGAAAGTCGAGTAAGTCAGCCGCGGCGGAGGCGGCGGAAGGATAGATGCTTCATGCACAGCAGCGCGCGCACTGCCGCAGAGACCTCGAGAGTGGCCGATGCCTCGGGACGCGGCAGGGGAGGGCAGTGGGGAGGGCAGGGCAGTGGGCAGGGCAGTCCGTGTTGCAACCAGCGCTCGGGGGGAATCGGCTCCAGCCCTTTTGTGACGGGCCCTGGCCTCCTCCGACTCCAGGCGGCGGACAGCCGCGACCGCGCAAACTCGTTCGGCCGCAAGGGCGACTCGAAGCTGTCCAAGATCTCGCGCTCGCTCAGCTGGAACACGCGCAAGAAGTATGACGACGCTGGAGCCGCCGCCGGCGACGCGTCGCCCTCCCCCACCGCGCTCGAGCCTCAGACGTCGATCGAGTCGATGCACGGCATGCACGAGCAGGCGAGCTCGCAGAGCCTCGACCGGCGCTCCTCTTCGAGGTCGGTCGAGATCGACTCGGCGGAGCTCGCAAAGTCGGCCGACACCAAGGAGCGGACCTGGTCCTTCTCGCGCCGCAACAAGGTGCGCAAGGCCGACGACGCGCCCGCGCCCGAGGGGTCGGTCAAGATTTACCTGCTCGACGGCACGTACAAGTTCTTCGAGACGACGAGCGCGATGCTGGTCGGCGAGCTGCTCGAGCAGGTCAAGCAGCGGCTCGGCGTGCAGGAGTCGTCTGCGTTCGCCCTCTACCAGGTGCAGCGCGGCACGCACTACCTGCTGCACGGCGAGGCGCAGGTTGCAGACATCAAGGCGACGACCGACTCGCGCGCCAAGGCGCTGGGGATGCGCGACCGGCGCACCAAGCTGCTGCTCAAGAAGTTCCTCTTCACGAAGCACGACGAGCGCCTCATCACCGAGAAGCCCTTCATCCACCTCTTCTACATCCAGGCCGTCAACGACGTGCAGCGCGGCAACTACCTCACCAAGCTCTCGGACGCCATCAAGCTGGCCGCCATCCAGTACTACGTCTGGTACGGCCCATTCGACGCCTCGAAGGAGCAGTTCTCGCTGCCGTACATGCGCGAGGCCAAGATCGGCGAGCAGCTGATGCCGACGCCGCTGGTGACCTCCACCTCCGAGTGCGACTGGGAGGCGCGGATCCACCTCGAGGCGCGCAAGATCTCCGACATCTTCGCGAAGCTGTCGCAGGGGCGCGGCATCTCGCCGTCCGAGGCGAAGGTCATGTACATCAAGAAGGTGCGCAAGCTGCCGATGTACGGCACCACCCTCTTCCACGTGCACAACTCGAAGATCTTCCCGTCGGGCCACTTTTTGCTCGCCGCAAACTCGTCGGGCGTCCACTTCTTCCACCCGATCACCAAGGAGGAGATCCACTCGCCTTTCTTCTTCGCCGACGTGCAGCGGTGGGAGCGCCCTCGAGATGGCCCGAGATGGCCCGAGATGGCCCGAGATGGCCCGAGATGGCCCGAGAGGTGCAGCGGTGGGGGGTTACGTGGGGGCACCCCAGGTACCGTCCGCCGCCCTCTCGTCTCGGCGGAGCTCGTCTGACGGCGTGCGGCCCCTCGGCTGCAGGTGGGAGTACTCCCCGAAGCTGTTTTGCTTTTGGTCGACGCGCTGCGACTTTCTCGAGGAGGCGCACCAGGGGCGCCACATCGTCAAGTACTCGCTCTCGACCAAGCAGGGGTGGGAGATCTCGGAGACGCTGCACGCGTACTACAAGCTGCTGATGGAGACAGACATCCAGGTCAACTCGTCCGAGCTATCGGCCTCGCGCCTCAACCGCGCTCCGGCGGGCACGGTGAGCTACGAGGCGGACTCGGACTCGGGCTCGGACGAGGAGAAGCGGCGCCTCGCCTCGGGCGGCACGCAGCAGGGCGGCTCCACCGTCACCACCTTCATCCCGCAGTCGTCGCCGTCGAAGGCGTCCCGCTCGAGCCGCGGCAGCGGCGGCGTGCGCGCCGCGGCGGCCGACTCGAGCCTGGCCGCGGCGTCGGCCGACCCGGCCGGCGGCGACGCGGACGCGGGCGGCTCGCTGCGCACGCCTCGAAGCGCGTCCTTCCACGAGGCGGCGAAGGGGCTCGACGGCGCGTCGCCGGCCGTGCCGGACGCGATGGTTGCCGAGTACGAGCGGGTCAAGCGCGAGCTGGAGCAGATGCGCGAGATGAAGGCCAAGTACGAGGAGCTGCGCTCCAACCACGAGAAGCTCAAGGTGGAGAACGAGGAGGTGCGCAAGATTGTGGGCGACATGTGCGCGCCCGTCGAAGAGGACGAGGAGGCGGGCCCGAGGTCACCCGAGATGAGCCGAGGTGAGCCGAGATTAGGTACGTCTCCGTCGACGAGGACAAGGAGATCACCGACAAGTACAAGGCGACGTACAAGGAGATTGTCGACTCGCTCGCGCCGGGCGGCGGGCCGCCGAAGACGGGCGAGCTGATGCCGAAGCTGTACGACCTGATGGTGCGGATGAACGACGAGGACATCCGCAAGGAGTACATGGTGCAGATGGAGATCATCCTCAACGACGACCCGAGCGTGTCGGAGCGCGTCAAGGGCATCGCCGAGGGGATGTCCATCAAGCTCGGCGAGATGATGGACACGCCTCGCCACCAGCGCATCGCCAAGCTTGCCAAGGAGGAGGAGGACCGCAAGCAGGCCCAGCGGCAGCAGCAGCAGAACCAGGCCGATGCGGCCAAGAGCAAGGAGCGCGAGGCGGCGCAGCGGAAGCGCAACGGCCAGGCGTACGACGCGCTCGAGCCGGCGATACGGCAGGTGCCGAGACGCCTCCGAGACGCCACCTCTGCAGAGACACTTCCGACCCACTTCCGACCCACTTCCGAGCCGGCGATGCGGCGGGTAGCCGAGTCGTTTCCGAGGCACTTCCGAGACCCCCCCCCCCCCCCGACTGCCCCCACCCATGGTACATCCACACGCCAGTCGACACCTCCGCCTCAACTCGACTCGCACCGCCGCCGCCGCCCGGCCCGCCCACCGATACGCCCGCCGACACGTCCGCAGGTGCTCGGCGTGAAGCCGCTCTCTCTCTTCGGCGACGAGCGGCAGCTGGCGCAGCGCGTGCAGAACCGGCTCGAGCTGCGCATGGTCGTGATGAGCGCGCCGGAGCTCAAGATGATTGGGCCCGGGCAGTACAAGTCGATGGGCACCGGCGGCCTCAAGCCTGACGAGGCGAGGCACTTCCTAGACACTTCCTAGACACTTCCTAGACACGTCCCCGTCCCATCTACCGGCTGCTGCCGCCGCTTCGCTTGTCACGCGCGCGCGGTGTGTGGACACGCCGACCCGCGGTGAGGATCGCCTCGTCACGGCGGCGCGCGCGCTGTGTGGACAGGTGCGCGCGCTCACGCACAAGCTCGAGCAGCAAAAGGACCTGCTCAACACGTCGGCGGACGCGCAGCGACTCCTCGCGATGCTCAAGCGCAAGATCGCCGCGCTGCCAACGGACGGCGCGCCGCCGCCCTCGCCCGGCGGCGCCGCCGCCGCGTCGCGAGCCAATGGCGGGCCTCCGCGACCGCCGCCGCCGCCGCCGCCGCCGCCCCGCCCGCCCGGCGCTCCGGGTGCGCCGCCGCCGCCGCCGCCGCCGCCGCCGCCGCCCATTCCCGGAGGCGGAGGAGGAGGCGGCGGCGGAGGAGGCGCCGGAGGGGGGGGGGGCGGGGGCGGCGGCGGCGGCGGCGGCGGAGGCGGCGGGGGGGGGCCGTAGGCGGCCGCGGCGGCGGCGGCGCCGGAGGAGGGGGGGGGCGCGGCGGCGGAGGTCGTTGGGGGGGTGATGATGAGGAGCAGGAGGGGGAGGAGTAGTG